CATCAGGACAATATATATATGGTAAAAGGAAAGCCGAAAGTATTAACACTATAGAAACATTACATTTCAATGTTCTCCCCCATCAAAAGTTAATAAAAATGTTTCATGGCAATGTGACTATGGCAAAACAATAGTTTTCCATAGGAAAAAGTGTTTCGCTGAAACTTTTTCAATAAGTTTTACTGATCACACGCTGTTACATTCAAAAGCGAATCATATATTGTTTGTGGGCAGTTCACTATGCAAAAATGTGAGAGATCATGAGGGAACAATCCACAAGGTAGACAAGCCTGGGCATCTGTCTGCACAAGACTGTCAAGGTTAGTGGGAAATGCATTCCCACTATTGGCATGTTAGCAGCCTATCGCACAAGAAAAAACTGGCTGACAAAATTATGATAACTCTGAACGAAAGCTGTTATAGGTCTCTGCAAAGGTCATTTCCTACTTCTTAACTCAAGAAGAGGCTCTCAAGTTTGTGTACAAATGAAAAAAGCCAAAGAGAAGGGAGTAAGAGGTAAGTACACACTTTCCTTTGCTTAGTCCACCTCTCTCGCGCCCTGCCTCTTCTCCAAGTTTGTTGCTGTCCATACAGTTATAGTAAGAATTAGATTTTGGCTAAACCATCAATACAAAGTGTAGTTTTAGTACCATCAGCATTAATTTCTAGTCTTCATGCAGTTGATCTCAAAGTGTTCTCCAGAGGGGTCAAGAATCCTTATTTTCATTTCACAGATAGGAAAATGGAAGCACACAAACAGTACAGTAACTTCCTCAAGGTCACCAGTGAGCTAGTGGAAGAGTGACAGGTAGAACCCAGGTTTCCTACCTTGCAGTCCTCTATGCCAACTATGGCAAAGCATTGCACTCTAGATCTCAAGTTAGTAGGCGAGAGGAGAATAATTAGTGTCTACATTTAACAGATCATACACAAATGCCTTTCCATTTACACGCCCTCCCACACGCACTAAGAAGCAGTGGTAGTACTCTTTATCCATAGATCCCAGAGCTTTTGAGAAAGGGGCAAACATCATTGGGTGCATACAGAAGTTCAGGTAGCCTGTCAGAGAGGCACTCTAACTCAGAGAGTCACTGAACCCAACAGGCATTCGTATGGGGGGGCGCTCAGAGCCTGCTCACATTGGCCCAAGCCAGCAAGTGAGGGTGCTCTAGGACAGCATTTGCCAACCTTTTTCAGCCCACGGCACACTTACATGACCTCTCTCATCCCACGGCACACTGGGGGGAGGCAGGGGGGTGGGCAAGCAGACATGGAGCGGGGTGATGGCAGCAGCACTGGCTGAAGCCACACCCCCCAAGATTCCATGGCACACCTGGTAATGTCTGACACCACACTAGTGTGCCACAGCACACTGATTGGGAAATGCTGCTCTAGGAGCCTCCTAGGAGGTTGCTGGACAGAAAGGCCTTTGGCACAGCAGGTACCAAGATCCTCTGCACACAATGTTATTGCATGTTGGAGAGACAAAGGACCTCTGTATCCACTTACCACTCAGCTGTGGAGGTGGGTACAGGTGGTAGGTGCTATAGATGTCATTGGACATCTGGAGCTGTAACTTGGTGTGATTCTTCAGCAGATCAGAGATGTTCTCCTCCTGGAAGGGAGTCTTTTCCAGGATCACTACAGCATCCTTTACTTCTCCACAAGTACCATTCACCTAGAAGAGGAGGCAAAAGTCATCAGATGCACTAATCCTGGTCTAGTAGGGCACCAAGATACCTCCACCATCACTTTGGTAATCCAAATGACTGCTTCTCTTCAACAGGATGGGGCAATTGCATGCCAATGGCTAGTACTTGCTACTGCCCATTTTACTCTGATACACTCTGTAGTACCAAGCCCAAATGGAGCAGGTGATAAGGTGAGCGATGGAGGCACAAAATGACGCACAACTCCTCTCCTACTGGAGTACTCTGCTGAGCAGGCACCTTTCAAAATCCTTGTTTGCCCTGAGCCACTGAGGGAATACAGATGTCTAAGTTCATCCTATCAAGGAAATATGGGTAAGGATAAGAAGAAAGATCTGTCATAGTTAACCAGAAGAGGGCATAGGACTCAGGAGCTCTCTCAGCCTGTTAACATCTACTGACAGGGTTGTGACACCAGCTGATGATGGATTCCTACCAACTCACCAGTGAGTCCTCCCCAGATGCACTGGAGTTGGAATCAGGGCTCCGAGTTCCTCTGGAGGGAACAGCCAAGCCAACAGGGTGGAAAGTCTTGGGTTGGAATTTGTTTTGCATTATCTGTTGATCTATTAACAAAGTCAACCTCCAGGAAGAAAGCAAGTCTAACCTTGCCTGCTGCCTGGAGATTCTGGAGAAGACTATTATTGATTTTGTATACCAACAATTGTAAGCATAAGTTCCCCAAGTACACAAGATTCAGGCCTTTGCCACCACCTAACCAGTGAGTGGCATAACATGTAACATTCAGATCCAGACTGAGTTTATTTTTTATTCAAGGCATGGAAATACGTGGGGTTCAGTCCTGACTCTTGCTAATGGCGCACTGATACATCAGTCCAGATCATATCAGCACCAATAAAAGGAAAACTGACATTATCAACAATAAGCTTTTTAGGCTGACGTGGCCAGTAACGTCACCGATAAATGCCGCATGCATGCACGCAGCCACAGCATGCATGCAGCTAGCCCAGGAGCTTAGAAAGCAGCATCCGGCTGGGAAGTCTGGGGGCGGAGGGGAGGAGAGGATGGGGGGCAGATCGAGGTGCCTGTGGTAAGGGAAGGAGTGGGGCTTGGGCAGATGCTGCCCAGCCAGAGCAGGGCACAGGACAGAGCCGCGAGTGGCTCATCCGG